ATTTTCTTTGAAACTTATGTGCTGAGACGTTTGCCTCAGGTTTACAAAATCCCATAAAAAACCTGCCTGGGTATTATAACTTGGATCCCTCCCTAAGTGTCCAGAGCAGTATTTTGTTCCTAGACCATCCGGTGACATGGTATTACTGCAATAAATACATCATTGGAATGCCCAAGCAGGTTTTCCTGTTGCCGCGCAGTAACTGCTTCCCAGAATCTTCCTTTTGTGTCCACATCCACTGTGAAGTAGAGGGCATGTGGCTTCATGCGCAGCTGTGACATTTTAAAACCTCTTTCTAAAGGTGGATGTTGCCTTGAGAACTATGTCCTGTTCAGTGTGAAGGAGACTTTTTTATTTTATATAATCATTTCCTTGGCAAAAATATATTAATAGAAACTGACCTCACAGCTTGCTTTCTAAAGTGGTTTTGGCTGCTCTTTTTTCTTTTCTCCCATGTTAGCTGCCTGAAAATTAAGCATTTGATAGAGACTGTAGGTTGATAGATCTAGTGGGTCTGGGCTGTCATAGTCTTGATTATCATCACCAGACGTTTATTAAGAACTTGTTATGAGAGGGACGCCTGGGTGGCTCAGTTGGTTGGACGACTGCCTTCAGCTCAGGTCCTGATCCCAGGATCCCGGGATCGAGTCCCACATCAGGCTCCCAGCTCCATGGGGAGTCTGCTTCTCCCTCTGACCTTCTCCTCGCTCATGCTCTCTCTCACAGTCTCGCTCTTAAATAAATAAATAAATAAATAAAATCTTTAAAAAAAAAAAAAAAAGAACTTGTTATGAGGGAGGCGGTATGGTCTGTAGGTATTACAGAGCACAGGCTGGGGCAGCCCGGCTGTGAATCCTCATTCCTCTACTTCCTATGGGACCTTCTTTATGCCCATTATTCAGCCTTTGTTAGTTCCAGTTTCTTCCTGCATGAAATGGAATTCATATTTTTTACATGCTAGGGTGACAAATCAGATCATCTGTATAAAAGGCCTAGCACAGTACCTGGCACACAGTAGCAGGCCCGGCTATGTTATGATCTCTTAGTATTGTTATGGTCCCAAGACGCGACTGTGGTGGATAGCTGACACTTACATAACACTATTAATGTATCAGATACTGTTCTAACTGCTTTACAGCTATTAACTCATCGAATCCTCAGATAGGCCTATGAGATATTATTATTCCCATTTTAGAGATGAAGAAACTGAGAGATATTGAGTTGCCCCACAGTCATACAGCTAAGTTGATCAGCCAGGAGTAGAGTGAGGCAATCTGGCCCCAAGTCCGTGCCCCTAACCACCAGGTTATATTGTTTCTCATACATACACTGCCTCTCATTACATGATGTGGCCTGAACTTATCCATCTGGCTTTTTCAGAGGAAAATTCGTGCAACAGTCCTTCTATGTGAGATGTTTTATCCCCTGGGCAAGAATTAGGAGTGAAATTGATATCGTAAGAGGCAGTTTTCCATTTGGATTTCGATCTCAAGTCTTATCTACGGCTTAACCACCCTGCCTTCTCCAAAGTCAAGACTCATCAGTCCTTTGCTAAGCTCAGAAATGGGTCTCCAAGTTGGTCTTCAGCTTTTATGGAAGAGCAGGGGGAGTACCCAGGGCAGAAAATGACACTCGAAATTTCAATTTAATGACAAAACTGGGCACACATAGGAATATTCTTAAGGAAAGATGGAGGGAGAGAGTCTTTCTGGATGGAGAGGGAAAATAAGGTGACCCTGTCTTCATAAGGACCCAAGTTACAGCCTTTGGACAGGATAAATCAGTATGTATGGATTTCATTAAAATAAATTATTTCAGATCATTTTCATTTTGAATTTACAGAAACCACAAGTTAAGTGATTCAGAACCCAAATGAAACTACAAATCTATAAAAATCTATACTTACAGTATAAACAATGGCCTCTTTATAATTGGCCAGTAATTTATATTTGCTAGAGGAAAAAAGATTTAAAACACAGAGGCTTTAGAGCCCAAGACCCTTGGGTTTTATTCCCCCTGCCCTATTTCCTACCTTTGTGATCTTTGCCAAATTACTTCAACCTGCCAACCTTTAGGGTCCCAATCTGTGAAATGGGAATAATAATATCTGCCTCTTAGAACTGTTGGGAGCATACACCAAGGTAACATGCAGAATGCTTGGCATATAATGAATGGCCATTCAGTAAGTGAGAGTCATCATCATATTAGGCTTCAAGGAGAAAATGCTAAAGCTACTTTCATGAAACAAACTATTTCAATAGAAATATCTGCAAGACCCAAGAAATAAGAGAATAAAGTTGAATGATGGCAGTTATGGCTTTGAGAGTGGTACAGGGGGCTCATCATGTTTAAGGACTAGAAACCCTTCCTACCCTGCCTTCCCTGGTTTCCCTCCTCATGTCTCCCAGGCAGCTGCAGAGCCTGGAAGGAAAGAGTGCAAAGGAGACCAGCCTGATACACATCACCATGCAGCCAGGCCCTGGCTGCCAGCGATCAAGAAAGTGGTGGCTTATTTATAGTCCTGCTCTCAGGTAGGCAGACAGCTTAAGAAGCCCAGCCCCCTGTACACTGTGCTCAGAGTTAGACTAAGTAAGCCTAGATTGCAGGGTTACTTGATGAACATAGCGATCTACGTAAACTGATAAATGTCTGGTTTTGATTAAATTATCACATGAAAGACCCATTAGAGAAGCCACAGTGTGTGATAATTATGGTATCCTCAGAAAAATGGCATAGTAAGAAATCAGAGGACTTGCAAGTATATATAATGTATTTTAAATTATAAAACTAGCCTTTATTTATTATAGGAAATGTGAAAAGTACAGAAAAACACTAAGGAAAAATAAAAACATTCATTATCCCACCATCCAGTGTAAGCGCTATTCACATGCTAGAAATAACCATGCAGTCTTTTTTCCCCTGTGACTTTACACATGTTTTTTTCACAATTGTAGCCTTCCTGCACATACTGTGTTGTAATTTGCTGTTTTCATAAAGTAGCATATTATAAACATATTTTATAAAATTAAGCTTTTTTGCAGCATCACTTTTAATATCTTTATGGATTTTCATAATATTTTGTTTAACCAGTCTCCTATTGTTACATTTAGGGTGTTCCCAAATTTTGGCTGTCATAAAAAAGTGAATTATTACTGCTAAACTTTGTACTGTAAATTCACAGAGGTGGCTGTCACTGCCTGGCACACTGTGTTGCTGGGAGGTACTGGGGATGGAGCAGTCCAAAATTGTTTAGCAGACCTGTTTCTCACAAAGAGGTGCTTTAGGGTCAGCAGTGACTCCCTTCCCCTAATGGGCTTGAAGAGGCCCACAGCTATAAAAGGTGAGTGCTGGGAGAGGAAAGGAAAGAAAAGAGAGAGTGCATAGAACTCTTCTCACCAGTTAAGTTTTCTGGAAGTTCAGCTCGGCATGATTTTTCTGTGATGACTTTCCCTCAGTGAGTATGGGGATATCAGGAATCAGCAATAAACATGCCTGGTAATTGACAAAAGTCGATGATAGGTGACAGATATCTGAGACTGGGAATTATCAGTGTTTACATACCTTTATTTGCTAAATATTTTTGAAATGAAAATTTAATTGTATAATGTTGAAATACAGTACTCTCTTGACCTGTATATAGTGTATTAGAGTTTATAAGAATTATGTCGATTCCTGAGTGTGTATTTTTGTAAACAGATAATGTTTTGAGCACTGTTGACTTAGTGAAAGTTTAAGAGCTATAAATAGTGTACAAAAGACTCGTGTGTGTGAGAACTCTGAGACTTGCTAATGACATACCAATTAGAGAAAAGATAGACTGTCCCATGAAACTGACATGACATGACAGTGCTCTCGATGGACGTAGAACATAGGGGAGGAGAATGACATGGAGGAGGTGAGGGAAATATCTCCAACTAGTGAAGGACTAGTACTGCATGTGAATAACAAGTTGACAACAGCTGAAGAACATATCTAAAAATATGTGTTCCGCCTGGGAGCCCTGGAAGGCCTCTGATTCTTTCCTCAGATCTCTTACACCTCCCCTCTGTCTGACCAAACACGCCTTTCATAGTCAAAATAATAAGACAGTTTCTTACAACTCTAATCTTTTCAATAACCATTAACAACAAGAGCAATCTTTTGAATCTGATCATTGGACCCGTTAGGTGTTATCTGAGAAGAACAAGATTGTCATTTGGCTTGACAAAGAAATACATGAATAAATGTATAAAATGCCCCAGTGTTTTATTAAGATCTGCCAGAACCCCCTGTGTGACACAGGCTAGCTAGTATTCCTGGTTTTCAGTATTATTGAACCGGTGTCTTTGTGTTTTCATGAATGTTTCAACAAAAACATGAATCAGCAGCTACTGTCTATTACCATCACCCAGAAATCAGAGATTTTTGTTTGTTTGTTTGTTTGTTTGTTTTTACCTCACCTGCTTTTTAAATTTTTTAAAAAGATTTTGGGCTGTAATCGTATTAGAGGTCTGAACATACTTCCTGCTTATAATTGATTATTCATTATTATATAATGATTATTCATAAGTACTTCTGTGGGAGTGCCTCCTAGGAGGCAGGTGCATACTAAGTATTTTTTCTGTATCATCTGTAATCTTCAGAGTAATCCTTAAGGTATAAGTATCCCCCCCATTACTATTAGGAAACAGAGGCTCAGAGATGGTTGGTTACTTGCTGATATCTGAGAACCCATGTAGCCATGTTGCAATTCCAAGTCAAGCCAGCTCAAAAGCCATCTGCCTCTCACCTTGTTTGGGGGAGCTGAGCAAAAAGAGAGCTGATAATAGAACAGACAAGTGTGTAAAACCTTGGGGAAAAAAAACCCCAAACTCTTCCATCTTGGATAGCTAGACCCTCTCAGACAGACTTCAGCGTTTTTCTAGTGCTTTTTCAGCTTTTCGCCAGTATGTGGTGTTTTTTCAATGTCAAATTCATTGTTTCAGACTTCCTCCCCTCCTCCTGCCCCTTTGATCTTCCAGGCCCTCAGTACCGCCTGGAGAAGCAGAGCGAGCCCAATGTCGCCGTGGACCTGGAGAGCACTTTGGAGAGCCAGAGCGCATGGGAGTTCTGCTTGGTCCGAGAGAACAGTACGTTGGCCTCCTCGCTCCATGCCTGCTTTGTCCGTTGCAAACATGCTTAGGAGTCCTGTGTTTGGGAATGCTCACTGGTCTGGCTTCCCCAGGCAGATTTGAAATGACTTTGTTTTCCAAGACAGATCTCAGCCTTTGTGCCAAAAGTGTGTTCCAAGTGAAATGATTGATTGTATACATTTTGGTAAAAAGTCTGCATCCTGTTTAGTACTGTGTGATTGATATTTTTCTGTTAAGCTGTATCTTCTTAAGTTAGGAGCAGCCCCAGAAACAGCTTAGAAATAAATATGAGGCCTTTTCTGAGGCCAAGACTATTTTGTATATAAAACAACTGGCCCTGTCAGTATCACTGTTCAGACTTCTAGTTTTAGAAAATTCCGTTTGCATATGCCTTAGCAGTAGGCCGTGTAGTGGTTCCTAGAGCTATGCTGTAAGTCTTTTTAAAACTTCAGTTCATTTCTTCTTTACTTTTCTAGTTGTGAATCTTTGCTACTCCCTCCTCTATACTCCCACTGACTCAAGGAACAAGGATGTGAAAACTGAGATTAGGGCAGCCAACTCTCCACTGTCATTCCCGCTTTGGGACATTTACACAGGCTATTTCTTCTGCAAGGAGCACACTTCCCCCACTCCTGTTACCCGTTTCTCATCCTTTGTCTCAATTCAAATGTCACATCTTCAAATAGACCACCTGTGATTCCCTCCACCCCCCTCTCACCTAAACCTGATCCATTCCTCACTTGGGTGTCCTATTCTGTTCAGTCATAGAGTAGACTACTTTTTCTTCATTATATGTATTTCGGCTTATGATTATATATTTTTCTCAATGATCATTTGATGTCTGTCACCCAACTAGCTTGTCAGGTCTATGAGGGTGTCCTTGACCCATGCAGGTTGTCCCTCATTATTTCAGCAAATATTCACTCATCATCCACTATAGGTCAGTATTGTAGGAGCTTAGTCAATATAGATTGAATGAGTGAATGAATGGCAGTTTTTAGTCATGCCACTGACCCTCTAAGCAAGACCAGCTTGCTATTCACTGACGCGAGGCCTTGACAGCCTCTGCTGGAGAGGCATGCAGAAGTTTCACCAGGATGGTGAAACATGATCCTTGCATTTATTTTTTTCAAAGGTTTTATTTATTTATTTGAGAGAGAGAGCGTGAGAGGGGGTGGGTCAGAGGAAGAAGTTGACTCCCTGCTGAGCAGGGAGCCCAGTGCAGGACTCAGTCCTGGGACTCCCCAATCATGACCTGAGCCGAAGACAGTCACTTAACCAACTGAGCCACCCAGGTGTCCCTGATCTTTGCATTTAGCAGCAAATTCTTGAAGGCAGAAGGTTGGTGTCCCCACAGTCTACAGCCAGTTATGAATATCTTATATAAACATGCAGAGAAATAAAAATCAATTGGATTCCCAAACGGTATAAAAAATTCCAATAAGTAGTAAACAAAAAATGTTTATCCCTATCAACAGTGTAAGATAAAAACATTTTAGAGCAACAGTGGAATACTTTTCACCTGTCAAATAACCTGGGCAGTTCAAAAAGAGTCCTTACTGCTGGGAAGAAATAGGCATATTCAAATACCAGTGACTAGTGCAAGTTAATGTAACTGCAAAAGTATCTAGAGACCTAAAAATGTTTTCCCCAGTATTTCTGCTTATAGAAATCTGTCTTAAGGAGAAAAAAATCTGAAATGCAATAAATATATGTGTATATTGATAGTTGTTAGATATTTATATTATCTAACACTAGAAGAGTAGTTAGATAACTTACGGTATATCCCTATATTGGAAAATTGTGCAGAGCATATCACATCACTATTTGGTAAAGGCAGACCAAGTAATTTGAATAAATTCTCCCGCTGAAGGTAACTTAAAAAGCTGATTAAAAAATAAAAATCATCACCCTAAAGTCATCAGAAAGCACAAGATAAAAAATATGGTCTATATGTGGGAGAAGATTGAACCGAAAGAACTGAGATAATACCTAGGAACAATTTTACCCTGACATCATCCAGATTTGAGGGCTGCTGTATTCAAAGGAAATTTTATAGCATTCAAATTCATATATTACAAAAGAAGAAAGGCCAAAAAGTGATAAGCTTATAAGCATTTAGTTCGAGAAATTAGAAAAGAAACCAAATAAAGAAATGTAAAGGGAATAAAAGGAAGGAAGCAATAAAGAGCATAAATTAAGGAAATAGAAGATTTAGGGACATTAAAACCAAAAATTAGTTATTGGAAAACATTAATGAATTACTAAACCTCTGATGAAATAGATCAAAGACAAGGAAGAAATAACAGAAACAAATGGTAATAAAATAAAAAGGAGGTATACTTTTATTGTCAAGGATCTGCAGTTAATAAACAGGTAATAGGAATTATTTTTGAAAGCCTCCATGCCAAAAATTGTGAAAATGTAGATGAAAAGGACAAAGTCCTTAAAAAGAAAAAAAACTCAACTTACCAAAATTGACACAAGAAGAAATAGAAAACTTGAGTATACTCACAACTATTTTGAAAATTGAATTCACAATTAAAAACCTTCCCATAAAGGAAAATCTGGCCCAGATGATTTCACTGGCTCGTTGTATCAAACACTTAAGGAAGAAGTAACTCCAGTCTTACATCAGCTATTCCAAAGACTAGAAAAAGAAGTGACACTCTCCATTTCATTTTAAGAGACTATCTCAGTCTTGTTACCAGACCCTAATTAATACTATGCAACAAAGAAAATTTAAATAGATACAAATATCCTAAATAAAATATTAGACTGAATCCAGTAATATATTAAGGGAATAATACAGCATTCCCAAGTTGGGGTTTTTTGGGGTTTTTTTTAAAGATTTTATTTATTTATTTGACAGAGAGTGAGTGAACACAAGTAGGCAGAGAGGCAGGTAGAGAGAGAGGCGGAAGCAGGCTCCCTGTTGAGCAGAGAGCCTGATGTGGGGCTCGATCCCAGGACCCTGAGATCATGACCTGAGCCGAAGGCAGAGGCTTTAACCCACTGAGCCACCCAGGCGCCCCCCACAAGTTGGGTTTATTAAAAGAGCACAAGGTTAGTGTGACTTTAGAAAAACCCAGTCAAGGGTTGCCTGGGTGACTTAGTCGGGTAAGCATCCAACTCTTGATCTCAAGTCAGGTCTTGATCTCATGGTTGGAAGTTCGAGCCACTCACTGGGCATGGAGCCTACTTTAAAAAAAAAAAATAAAATAAGTCAAGATAATTTGCCACAATAACAGATTAAAAGGATAATCATCTCAGGAGATGTAGAATGTTATCCAGCCATTATAAGTTGTGTTTACCGAGAGTTTTCACAACGGGAGAAGTAAGTTTTGGTATAATATTAAGGAGGAAAAATACCAAGGAAGCAAAATAACACATACAGACTAATATCAACTATGTAAAAACAAAACAAACAAAAAGAATAAAAGGAAATGCCAAAATATTGATAGTGGTTGTTTCTGGTTGGCAGTATTCTGGGTAATTAATTTTCCTTCCCCTTTATACTTTACTTACACTTTCTGGAGTTTCTACAATGAGCATGCATGACTTTCTAAGAAGAAAAAGTAAATAGTAAAGTTAAACTGTAAAGTTAAGTTTACTTAACTTTCGATAAAAATTACATAATAAGAGTAGCTCTTGGGGCACCTGGGTAGCTCAGTTAGTCAGTTAAGCATCTGCCTTCGGCTCAGGTCATGATCTCAGGGACCTGGGATCAAGCCCTGCATCAGGCTCTCTGTTCAGTGGGGAGACTGTTTCTCCCTCTCCCTCTGCCTGCCTGCCTCTCTCTCTGTCAAATAAATAAATAAAATCTTTAAAAATAAAATGGAAGAGAAGCTCTTAATTTAACAATCCTTATGATACTTGAAATCTCAAGCCATGTATAGTACTATACCACGGCACACCCAAGGGAGAATTATAACAACACACCCTTTGCAACTTGTTTATCTAATATTTTTTAACCTGATTTAAATGGGTAATCCCTCCCTCCCTGTCATGTTCTTTCATTCTTTAAAGACTCTCCTCTAAAGCAAACTGGGGTCTCTAATTCACAGACAGGAACTCTGTAGTGGATTCTATTTCAGAATGTTGATTCTTTGTCAAATGATTAAGATGAAGCGCTATTTGTTACTAAGTTTTTTGGACACATGATACTTATTCATGTTTAAAAAAAAAATTGCTCAGATAACAAAGTGTCTGTAGTGAAAACTTCATCTCTCTTCTCTCCCTTAATTCTCCTTCCAGAGACAACAATTGTTCCCAGTTTCTTCCATATCTTTCCAGGGATCATCTGTGTATATGCAAGCATACTCTGTGTAAGGATGTGACTGTATCCCCCACAGGCATGTATATGCTCACGCATACACAGTGTTCACACACATTTATACTTCCCCCTACTTAGAAGCAAATGGTAGCAAACTTACCATTAGAGTGCTCATTTTTCTTTTATCTTTTCTTTTTTTTTTCTTTTTTTTTTTTTTCTTTTTTTTTTTTGCCAAAGAGAGAAAGCATAAGCGGGGGGAAAGGGCAGAGGGAGAAGCAGGCTCCCTGCTGAACAGGGAGCCTGATGCAGGACTTGATCCCAGGACCCTGGAATTGTAATCTGAGCCGAAGGCAGATGCTTAACTGACTGACAGAGTCACCCAGGCGCCCTTTCTTTTATCATTTTAACAATACATTGTAGAGATTATTCCACATCAGCCCATATGCCACTCCACATATAAATTCACCTCTTTCTTTTTTAACCATGACAAGGTATTTCATAATATACTATGATTTCACATTAGTTTTTTTTTTATTTTCATTTTTGTTTGTTTTGTTGTTTGTTTTTTTTTAAGATTTTATTTATTTATTTGACAGAGATCACAAGTAGGTAGAAAGGCAGTTAGAGAGAGAGAGAGAGAGGAGGAAGCAGGCTCCCCGCCGAGCAGAGAGCCCGATGCAGGACTCGATCCCAGGACTCTGGGATCATGACCCGAGCCGAA